GACAATAACGATATCTCGGTGTCTTCTTTACAACAGTCCATATCTGGATTCGTTAGGTATGATGTGACATACAGAAAGGCTTGGCGTGCTAAGCAAATTGTTCTAGCGATTCGATGGGGTACTTGGGAGGAAGCGTACAACAGGGTGCCCCGCATCTTATGTGCAATGCATTATTACAACCCTGCCTTGAAATGGTTTGTGGATACTGGAGGGATGTTTTTTCGGAACCCATTGAGGCATGTCCTCTATCGTGTGTTCTGGTCGTTCACGCAAACGGAACATGCATTCCAGTTTTGTCGACCAATCGTACTTGTTGATGGCACTTTCCTGACAGGAAAGTACAGGGGCACCTTGATGATGGCTGCTGCTGTTGATCCTGAGGAGCAGATAGTACCCATAGCTTTTGCTTTGGCAGAGGGAGAGAACAATGAATCGTGGTCATGGTTCATGCGGCTTTTTCGTGTGCAAGTGCTTGGCTCAACTCGCACTATATGTTTGATCTTCAACCGTCACGCAGGGCTTCTTAATGCTGCAGCTGAGCATATAGATGGGTTCTCGCCTCTAGTACATAGATGGTGCATGTGACACTTTGCCGCTAATTTCTGGCGGCGTTAGCGGAAGCAGGAGGTATGTGACAAGGTAAAGGCTCTATATTGTGTACGTGCAGGGCATCCAGTTCAAGGAGACAAAGAGAGAACTAGATAAGATGATAAATGCAGCGGGAAAGGCCTAGTTAGAGGCGCAGATGAAATAGAAGGCTCAGTGGACGTTAGCATATGACGAGGGGGGTTTCAGGTATGGCATCATGACCACTAACTCCTTGGAGTCCTTCAACCGTGTATTCACCAGAGTTTGATCGTTGCCTGTGTCTAGAATTGTTGAGTTCTCCTTTCATAAGTGCAACGAATATTTTGTGAAGAGATGGGAGCTTGCGCAGAGGAATATAGCTAAGCAGGGGTGTTTTGGAAAGGCCGAGCTGAACACTTGAAGGATGCCAAGGAATTGGTCAAGCAGCACACCGTCGAGCCGTATGGACCCCGCCGCCATATCTGTAGTGTACGGGGCAAGGGTGGCACAAGCCTAGGTGGTGAACGTTATGGTGGATGAAACTATCGAGTTGATCTTGAAAAAGTAGAGTGCAGTTGCAACGTCCCTCAGATCATGCATGCCCCTTGCTCTTATATGATCACGCTTGTAGGGTTCGCGGGTACAACTATGAGGATCTACCATATATGTCACCCATTTATCTCTGTTCAAACACCGTTAGTATTTGGGAGAAGAGCTTCGAGCCATACCTTGACCCAACACAGTGGCCACCTTATAATGGTTATGACTACGTGCCGTATCCGGATCTAATGAAGATAGGGAAGGGTAGGAGGAAGAAGAAGCGACTGAAGGGGGACATGGACGCTATGAAAGGGTACGACGAAGACATGTACGGCGGGGGGACTTCAATGAGACCCGTGGCAGGAATCTTTGCTCTGTTTGCAAATAATCTGGCCACAAGGCTAGCAGGCATAGAAGGCAACAGGTGATTTCATATTGTGTTCGTATTGCATAACAAATAGTTCAAATTTTGTAATGCTATATAATGTTAATCTAAAAATTATTAATTTGAATACTCTAACCCTTTGTTTATCATTTTGTAACAGGATGGCCCCTCCCACGCCGCACCAGCTGATCCCCCTTCTTGATGCGGAGTACAACGACCCCCTTCTTGTACCGGACGACAAGGTTCATTACGTCGTGGGACTTAGTTCATTACGTCGAACTTATGTCGAACAAATATTGTCGTCGAAAACTTGTAGACTCATAAACCAATGAAAATGTTGTATGGCAACTTATCGTCCATTTATTTGCTTCATGTTCGTTTTGTACAGCACTTGTAGTTTTGTACAACACCGACAACAACTCAATTGTAGCTGGCAGTTGTCCATCTGCGCACTGACGTGCCATGTACTATGGCGTGGCACAGACGCACCGTGGGCTCTGACGCGGCAGAACCATGCCTATGGGGCACCAGAACCTGGCCTATGGCGCGACAAACGATTACGTTCGTTTTAGAAATTTTGAACACATGATACAAACAGATGTGATCACTTAAGATCGATCATGGGTAATCCGAGTACATGATACATGGGTACAATACATCAGTAGTTCAAATGGAATATAAGACAACACAATAGAATTTCTACTACATGGCTACATTGATCATTAATAAAGCATGGAACTAACAAACGACGCAATCAAAAACCCTCAGTCAGAAACATACTGAGTAAGCAACTCGTTGTTCGAGTACCAATCCTCAACCACAACCCTGTTGCTGTGGCTATGCTCATCTGCGTTGCTCTGACCTGCCTGTCGCCTGTAGTAAGCGGCCTCCGCTTCATCTACGGCCGCTACGGTCTGAGTGAAGAACGCGTCGTCATCCTCCTCCGCCTGTAAGCCCACCTCTCCTAAGTCTGGTAGTATCGTCCTCATCATCGACCCCCTCATCAGACAACATAATCGGTGATTCAACGGTGCGACCAGCTCGCTTTCTGTGCTCATCTAACTTCTTTTCCTCGTACCTGGCATGAGCCACCTCTGCAGCATGTTCCTCGCTGCATCCAATCCCTTCATGTATAAAATGTAATCAGTTAGGAACGTGATTATATTACATTTAAAACCAGACAACGAAAAAAGACGTTCAAGCACTCACTGGCACATAATGCAGCAACATGCTCGTTCAAGACCTACATCTGTACTCTTGTCTCCTCCCTTGCCTCCTTCCTTGCCCTCTCCTCCTCTAACGTCATCCGCCTCTCCAATCTCCATTTGTTAAGCCCAACATCGATCGGGTTACAAATATTGCGCTGTCTAGCAAACTCACGCATCTTTTCTTTGTGATGTTTAACGAATAGGTTGACGTAATCAGGTCCATATCCCCTCTTCTTTGCAATTAGTTGCCTCTTCTTCAGTTCATCCAAGAACTTAGCTTGACCATCGTAACGTTTCCACCTGCATTTCCTAGTGCTCTGTTCAAAATAAATATTATATCATATATGTCTGAGTAAAAGAAACAAAATACGATTTCATGTTTACCACAAAAATAACGAACCTCTTCATACTCAACCATATGGCCGCAATAATGACCTATTCCAAGCTCCGAAGAGACTAGGCCATAGTTATAATTAACACCACATTCGCACTTGACTGGTGGTGCTTTGTAAATTAACCTTTCTTTCTTCTTTTATTTTGCTTTTAGAGGTTCTTTGGGCCATTTGTTTTTAGGACCATACAACCACTACTTGAAACGACACTTCGTCATTGAATACATCTAAATAACGTGACATTAGTACATGACACATATAGCTCAATATTTCAACACATACACTTTGCACTTACTTCATGCTTGTTTGGACACACAAACTCTAACATATTGTCAGGGTTTACCACGGCTTGGTCTCCGCAATGGCACTGAGGAGGTTCCTCGAGTCGTCTAACTGCGGCTAAGTGCTTCTCCTTAGCCGTCATTGGAGGGGGGTTAAGGGGAGGTGGAACCCACCGCTCGAAGTGTGCTCGTGGATGTCGTCCACTCCACCAATCGTTGAAAAGAAGGTACTTGGGGTCAAACTTGTCTGCACCGTCGATCCAGTGAAAAAAACACCTCTCATGGTCCTACACAACAAAAAATTTAAAAAAATATTAGTAATCTAGTAATACAAATGAAGAAGAAAAGATAGTGGAAATAATTACTTACATTAAAACAACTGCACGTGTAGAAGCAACGAACCGCTGTGTCCGGATGTCTCGATTGAAACACGCCGGCCGGACGACCACAGTCACAATTAGGGACAGGGAGTTCAGAAGGAACGGGGCATCTTTGTTAGACTCGTCGGGGTATATTTCTCTAGGACGACCCCGTTTTCGCCATAACTGCTCCCGAAACATGTCTTCCATCTAATAAAACGGTTCAAATTAAACATCAATCAAAATAACGCAAATTAATGTAAAATGTAATCATTTACGATGCAACTAAAATATTATAAACAACAAGTATAGCAACAAAAATATACATGACAAATATACTTCTAACTAAATAATTAACCTTAACGTTGATAAAATCAAACTAATATGTTTACCATAGTTCTAAACATAATTTTCCTACTAACCTTAACTCCCATTCATAATATCCTATCCACCATTCAAACGAAAATAAAATATACGTCATTATCTTGGACTAGGACGAGGAGGGAGGGAGTTGGCCGGGGAATAAAAGGGAAGGGAGGGAGGCGGCAATGAAGGGCCGGGCTGCCGCCGTTCGTAGCGCGACCGCCGGCGTGCTTGGCGACGGGCGGGAGCGGGAGCGACGCCTAGGCCTTCTTTGCTTTCGAAGGCGTGGGACTCGCCCGTGGTGGAGGGTATACCGCTCTGCCGCCATGGATCGGTAGCGCCAAGAAGATCGGTGGCGGCGAGCCTCCCGTCGTGATCGGTAACCAGTCGCCGCCATCGTCGGCTCCTTGCGCGCCACCGCCATGCATGGCGCTGCGCGAGATTTACATTTGCCGCCGATGAAATAGCGTGGCTAAAAATGTTAGTTTAAAAAAAACCGAGAGTGTTAGATTTAAAATTAGTTTCGAAAAAGTGTTAAAATTAAAAAAAAATTCAATATGGGCGTGCAGGGACAGGAAGGATGCGGATGCCGGAAGCAACACAAAACTTTGGATCGCCATCTGTTGTGAGCGCGCACATCGCCGCGATCCCAAGTGCCTCCCACGCGTGACGCGTCCCACTCCCACGTCGTGCACGCACTCGCGCTCCCCAGTGCTCACACGCCACCACGCCACCACCTCCCTCCTATTTAGGCCCCACCGCCGCCTCACGAGCACGCCCCCCGTCGACTCGCCCGCTTGCTCGCTCCATCGCTCCCAGCCTCCCACGCACCCGCGCCCGGCCAAAAGCCAATTCGAATCTCCCCGCTGCGCGGACGCGGCGGGGGCCTCTGCTTCGCGTTCGCAATGCGGGCCTCCGTCGAGGAGGCGGGCGCGCTCCTGGCGCGGAGCGACTCGGCCGGCTGCCGCCGCCGCTCCTCGTCGCCGGTGCAGACCGCGTCCCCGAGGCCCGGTAGCCTGAGGCGCCAGTCGTGGTCGTTCCGCGAGGACGTGGGGCACGCCGCCTCCGAGACTTACCTCGTCTCGCGCCTCACCTTCACCCTCCTCCAGTACCTCGGGTAATCCGACACTAGCTCGTCCTCGCCTCGATGAATTCCAAGCGCTTAGTCCAACTCGTCTATCGACCTTGACGAAGCAGTTGATTAACTAGTCAACGGCTTGCGACGGATTGCGCGATGCTACCCCGCGCTGCGGCGATGGACTCGATGCTCTGGAGCGACGGCCGAATGAACTTGCTATTTTAGTGAAGTCGCTTACGGTTTGTGGTTCTACTACTACAGTGTTCATAGTCCTATGTGGCTATGTGGCTGCGTCGAGAAGGCAGCTTTGACGGAGATGCAAAATGGGGCTTATGCTCAAATCGATAAGAACGGCTGAAAGGATGATGCAATTGCGTATGGAACTTTCTCGACAAGGGCGGATGGGAGTCTTGTTGGGACTAAGTTGGGGCCACACGGGTGCAGACTGCAGAGTGCTCGACGATTCTGGGTTTCATTTGCGTGCAGACTTTTTATGCTGTTGAGTAGCACACCTCGTCCCTGTTTCCGTTCTGTTCTGAAAACTTTGAAAAGGATGCGCATGCTGATGCAGTCATGGTAGTGTACAGTTGATTGGTCATGTGCAGCCCACTTGCTTTTGACTTAACAGCGAAGCAACCAATCATTATTGATTTTATATTTGATTAATGAGGGCAATGAGGTAGGCATGTTCGTGATTACCTTAATCTGGCTGCTGAATTTCGTGATGTAATAATACCAATATCATTCTTTGGAGACTGAGCTATAATAATACCAATGAGGGCTATAAATCTTAAAGGCTTTGTTGTTATTGTTGTTGTTCGCTGATGCTGAAATTTGGCTTATGCTAATGTTTATGCTAAAATGTTGCGAGAGAAAAACACGGTTCCATGGCTGAAAAGTAGTTCTGAGTAAGCTGAGAAAATTACATCTGTTCACTATGGCAATTAAACACATGATAGAGGGTCACAGAACTCACAAGTACACTTTCGTAGAAACATGTGCAAGGTCTTAAGGTACTAATAAGAGCGTACAGAGAAATTATAGAAGTACGCAAGGTTCAGCATTGAAAGTGACAACACTATATAGGCCTTGTATTTTCTAGTCTTTTCGATGTCATGTGCACTGTAGTAGTGTCATTCTCTGTGTATTGGAAAACTTCGTATTCATCTGCTCCTTTCACTCACAACAGTGTTCTCCCATTTTGTCTGAACGCTTTGATAAATAGCATTGCTGTTGGTGTTTCTGATATTCTTTCTGATTTTTACTATTATTCAGGTTAGGTTACCGATGGATGTCACAACTCCTTTCACTCACAATCTATGCAATTTTACTTATGCCAGGATTCACACAAGGTATGTTGAAACCTACCTGTTAACACAGTATGATCTGTTGTTTTAATATATACGTTTGAGTTTGTCTTGAAGGGACCTTATGGTTATGACCCCTTTCACAGGAATATGATATCTTTTCTGATTTCTGAAACATCTTTTCTTGGGTTACAGTTGGATATTACTATTTCTTTTCGAGCCAGGTTCGTAGAAGTGTAGTCTATGGAGACCAACCCAGAAACAGGTAACATCAGTTAGGAAGGCCACATAGCTGGAAACACAGCTAGTATTTCCTATACATACATGGTTGAATAATTTGATGAGTATTACACTATACAGGTTGGATCTGTACATACCAGAAGATAATAGTAGGCCCTGCCCAGTGATGGCCTTTGTAACTTTTGGAGCATGGATTTTTGGGTTAGTATTGATGATTCTGGGGAAAAAAAGGAATACTGCAGTAATACTTGGTGACTATCTTTATTAATGATTTTGTTTACTTATAGTTACAAGGCATGGGGTGCTCTTCTAGGACGACGATTAGCAGAGCGAGGAATAATAGTTGCTTGCATTGATTACAGGTGCTGATTATTTGAGTTTTACGGCTTTGTTTTTTTATTACTAATGAGGGTTTATGGAGTCTTCTTGTATCTTGTTTGCTTGACACAACAATCAAATACTCCTTTCAGAAATTTCCCACAAGGTACAATAGGCGACATGGTTCATGATGCTTCTCAGGGAATTTCTTTTGTGTGCAACAACATCGCCAGCTACGGAGGAGATCCTAATCAGTAAGCGAGCAACTTTTTAATTTCTCAGACAAAGGAGAGTTGCATGTCATTTCATTAAGATGAAAAAAGTACAAGGAGAGGCCAGCGAGCCAGCTCCCATCATTAGTGTTTGTGACTTGGGGGTACCATGAGATTTCAAGAATTCGGATTAAAAAAAATCTCAGAATTCTAGAATCCTATCCAAACAGACTAGGATTTTAGTAGATTTTAACATACAGGCACAAAATCCAATAAAACACATCAGATTTTTTTATCCAGATTCTTAAAATCCACTGGGGTCCAAACAGGACCATGGTTTACACTTTATAGCTGCTAAAAGCTATCAATTTAAATCATAGTTGCTAAAAGAATTGATGAGTCAGTCACTGGGGAGGAAAGTTGACCTAGTCTGTTGTTTGCTTCATCGCCATTGGATGCTCTCCTAGAACCTTACCCATTCTATTTTCTCCAGCTTTAAGTATCAGGAATATTTGCTTATCCTTGTGCATTCTGTTAATGATGTATCTTTATATCCTGCGGTTTTCAGTACTGGTTAACTTTGGTTATATGTGAATGCAAAATCTGGTTCCATTTTAACACTTAATAACTTTGAGTAAAATTTATGAATCTGTAGGATCTACTTGATGGGTCAGTCAGCAGGTGCACATATTGCAGCATGTGCCCTCATGGAGCAAGCAGTAAAAGAATCTGGTGGGCATCCTGTTTCTTGGAGTGTTACCCAAATCAAAGCATACTTCGGTTTATCTGGAGGGTGAGATCTGAGATCCTAGGTTCCGGCCTTCGTTAGCCTTCTATTGCACGATTATTTTGAGTCCTGCAGACTGATGAGCTAATACAACGCGCATGGATTCAGGCAGCTGAGCTCCTTTTAAGCTATCCTGAATTTTTAGGATCATGCCTTTTTAACTTAAAATAGCCAAAAGATAAGATGTCATATTGTCCTCAACATATGAGTATCTTCTGTAGAAGGTGTTGTTTGCACCAAGTGACGCTGGGGAAACATGCAATTGCCCATTTTGAGTCTTCAAAATATGAATGCACTGAAAATCTTCTGTCCTTTTACTTGTCATGTGATATAAATGTAACCTATCTAATAACGAACTTTCCTAAAATATGAAAACGAAACTAATGATCTTCATCACTGCATTGCATTTGGATGACTTGGGTTTATCAGTAAAAGTGTTTTCTTGCAGATACAACATTCATAATTTGGTTGACCATTTCCACGAGCGTGGTCTTTGTCGCTCAATATTTCTCAGGTATTAAATTGAATATCTAATGAAGTGGTATCTAGTAACGATTAAGTATGATTGTAAGGATTAAGGAAGGATTTGAACTACAATTTCAGCATAATGGAAGGAGAGGAATCATTGTCACGTTATTCTCCTGAAATTGTTGCCAAGACGTCAAGTGCTGAAACCATAGCTCTTTTGCCTCTTATTGTTCTTATGCATGGAACTGAAGATTATTCAATACCATCATCTGCCAGGTTTGTTCATATTCCTTTTATAGATGTTTGTTTAGGAAATTGAAGGGCAAAAATCAAGTAAACCTAAGGTTTTGGTTGACATGATTTCTCTATGCTTGTCATGCTGTCATATTGAAAGGAAATCCTATGACAGTACAAATCTGTTAGCCCTTGAATTTGACAAAAGCAACTTTCCTACAGCTGCTTAACTAATTGGATGCTGATCTGAATTAAAAAATTCATTGTCTATTGACATGATACAAACCAGTTCAATAGAATTTACAAGATGGACTCATGAAGCCATGCACCAAGCTGAGGCAGGATTAAAGTATGCTTTTAAGGTGTCTAAAGATTCCTGCAACTGTGATGTTCCTTCAACCCTTCTCCTTTTACAAATTTACCATTTCTTTTCCTGTATTAAGGTATTCCTTGAACACCAACACAGTGTGTATAACTGTATATACAGGCTGGAAGGTTGATAAACATAATTTGCAGTTTTTCTGGTTAAAAACCAAAAGGATTTTCGAAAATGAGCATAAAACGGCGGAACAGGTAGCCTATCTAGCAAAGGAGGATATTCTTCAGAGGCGGAGGGCCATGTGTATTGCGGGGTAAAACAACAAGAGCGTGAGCAGTGAACTTTGTGTTTTGGTCCTCTAACCGGTGTCCTGGGCACCGTGGGGTGCCTTGTACATAAAACTCTATTTCTTTCTCAATTGAGCGGCAGAGCTCCTGCCTTTACTTTCAAAAATAATTTCCCACAACACTTCGAGGTGAAATCCCTTTGTCCTCCTAGACTCCGGAATAAATGCTGATAAACTGGAGCATTGCTTGATTAGGATGTCAATTGCCAAGTTTTACGAGAATATTGTGTTCTCCTCAGATGTAAAATCAATGGTCAATTACAATGAGATTGCTTGCTATACTTGCTAATCTTCTGTGGTCAACTAGAACTTCCCTTTGTGTACATTTCTCTGCTTCTACTGTAGATTGATATTTTTTTTGGATGGATGATCTGTTGATTGACCCATCATGTAACAAATCCAGCCTTCTCAATTTCATGTTACCAGCTACTCAATCTTCCATGTGCAGTCAAACTTTTGCTGACATCCTCCAACAAGCTGGTGCTCAAGCAAGGTTACTATTGTACGAAGGGAAAACACATACAGATATCTTTTTACAGGTTTCATGTCTTGAACTTTTATAATTAATTTTCCACATATTTCTAACTTTTCAAGCTCTCTAATACTTGATAGTCTGTAGGTGTACAGTAAATTTAATAACACTGTTACTTGTTGATACATAATTTTTTGTAAACTGGATTGGTTCCTTTTATTTTACTAAGTTTGGTTTTAAGGTTGTTTATGGATGTTGGGGTTTACAAGCATCTCTACTTCACGCTTCTTGATTGGGGCAAACTAAATCTTACCCCTGATTTTGTAGAAGGCCTGGATTCTTCTATTTGGGAAGAAAGTAGTCGTCGCTGTCTAATTTATTAATAATTGGCTTGCCATTAGTTACGAAAAAAAACTTTTCTTGTGATGCAGTTGGATTAAAATCAAAAGTTTCGTATTTACTGATGCGGTTCATAATGTATCTTTCTGGAAGCATTTTTTGCTAATCTTATCCTAATTAACCAACTCATGACTAATTTTTGGCTAAATCACATAGGCCATAGTTGCTTGTTTCATGGAAAAATGTGCTTGTTAAGTTAAAGGGAGACTTGATATGCCATAGAATGCCACTGGTTTCTTTTCAGTTTCTAACCAAGTTATTCTTAGGGTGTTACTGAGAAACCTGGTAGTCCCTGCAGTTTGGGACTTATGTTTGATGGATGTCAGAACTTGCTCCAGAGATACGCATGTATCGATCTTATTGCCATGTTTTATACTGTTTGATATTAAGATGAAGATTTTATGGTGTGCTTCCTTGAACTTCCTTTAATTAGTGTGGTCAGAACTAACACAACTACCTGAACATCACTGCAGAATGTATTCTATTATGGTTTGCTAGAGTATCTCACTCAACTTTGCATTGTTATAACTGTATCTTGTTTCTTTATTTTTTTCCCATAGGACCCTCTTAGGGGTGGAAGAGATCCATTGGTTGAAGATGTGTTGTCTATTATTCATGCTGATGATGCAATTGCACGTCAAAAGATTGCTTCAGCACCAACTCCAAAGAGATTAGTTTTTGAGTGGCAATTAAAGTTGGCCCACCAAATTAGTCCTTTCTAGCAGGTAGCTAGTGCTGTCCACACCTTAGTCTTTTTTCGTATGCTCCGTCTCCTTTACAAACATTTTTGATAGTTTGGTTTGTCCAAAAAGGTTTTGCAAATTAGGTTAGGTTAGTAAAGCACTTGGAGTGTTTGGTTTCTCATCAGTAGACGAATCCCAGACTAACATTTTATCCTTCTCCCATTATTTCAGTACGGCATAGAAAAGCATCAATCTAAAATTCTAAATGCTTTGAACCACATACATATGTAGAGCATAAAGATGAGGATTTAGATCAATTTTCCTCATTGAGTACTATGTATACCCGGAGAAAGATTTAGTTTGCATATTAGTGAGACCTTTTCTTTTTCAGAACGTTTTAGGTGCGGATCATTTCAAATTCGTCTGTGTGGAAAATATCTAGCATGAAGCATGGAGAAAACTTGGATCTGTGGATTTTGCACCTTCGTGAGGAAAGGGTGCTCGGGGAGCCATTGAGCTGGATTGGATCAGGCAAGCAAAGAATTCTCGCGTCTTCTTTATTACTTGCACAATGTTGGTTTATGTGAAACTGGTGGCTGGTACGCAGTACGAGAGGAAGAAGCTACATACTAACATACACGACTGGAAATGGAAACCACATCATCTTTTTTTGCAAAGCTGTATATAATGTTGTATATTGTATTGCACAAAGGCTTGTAATACGTTTTTTTGTGCCTCGTTCCAAAATGTAAGTTATTTTAATTTTAGACTAAATCAAACTCTTGACTAAGTTTATAGAAGAATTTGTTGACATCTATAATAGCAAAATGCACTATAAAAAATCCAAAATATAATTCGTTTTAAAATGCAAGTCATTTTAGTTTAGACCTAACTTTGATCAAGTTTATAAAAGATTTTGTTAACATCTAATACTAAAATGCACTCTCAAGAAACATTACATGGAAGATTCAGAATTAATGAAACTTTTTTTTTTGTGAATGTTACTCAGGACCTCTAAAATACTGGATAGCTTATCGTTAAAAGGCCAACAATATGAGCATCCATGTCAAGTCGAGGATTTGATGAGATACCCATCATTAAAAAAAAACTATTAAATCTTGGAATGAGTCTAGAAAAATACGAGTATCCATATCAAGTTGAGGACTCTCGGTGAGCATGTTCCACCACATGAAATCTAACCAGTTGAGTACACTTAGGTTGCTAATGTAACTAATTTTGGTATTGATGTTGATACATTGTTCCATAATTTTTTGAAAGTTAGAAAATACGACTAAAACGTATATTTTGTAACGAAAGAAGATAATGTATTAGAATATTCCTTCCGTCGATTGGACTAGCTAAGACCAATATTTTAAAATAGCCTATTATAACACCACTATAGCTATTTTATAGGGTCTACCACTATGATAGCCATTTGTTCCGACTAATGATGCTATGGCTTCGCTAAACACCACTATTTGGCTTAGCCACGAATCACGGGTAATATTGACCAAGGTAAATATTCATTCCTGGGCTCTGATGACTATAATATATGCATCTTTGTGAAAGGATCTAATAATGCCTAGAGGGGAGGGTGAATAGGCGTATCTAAAAATTTACTGCAAATGCTAAGTTCAAACTTGTCAGCCACTGTCGAAAGTCCCGACAGTTTGGGTCGGAACTCCCGACGTCGTCAGAAGTTTTGGTACAAATTGTCAGAAGTCCCGATGCCTACGTGAACTATAAAAGCAGTGCCAAAATTAACTTTGCGGATAAATAATATTACAACCCCACTTCCTAGTGGTTAGGTGAAGTTGTTGGGTCACTCCCTTTGCCGAAATGCCTTCAAATCATAGATCGAGTCCAAAGTCTAAAATGAAGCTTGGGAGAGAGAGAGAAACAAATACACATAATTTTGAACAAATCACAACAACAAGAACCACGCGAGACACAAGGATTTATCCCGAGGTTCGCCAACCCCACAAAGAAGCTCCTACGTCCTCGTTGTTGAGGTGACTACAAAGGTTGGAGTCTCTTTCACCTCCTTGCCTCTCTCAAGAAAACCGCAAAGGTCACTTGAGCTTTCCACTAAGAAATCGAGGGTAATACAAACTTACCAAGGCTCTTCCACAAGATGGAAGCTCTTGGGCAACATCTAGCCGGCTAGGAGCAAAGCTCCAAGAGTAATAGACATAAATCCAACTAGCTTGACGAAGAAATCAAGTGCTCAAGCGTGTCAAAGTGATTCTCTCACTCAATCCGCTCTCCTATCACTCAAATTCTTGGAGAAGAGGGGAGCCTTGAATGCTTGGGAGATGTTTTGGACGAAGGTTGGTGGCAATGAATGAGTGGGTAATGGTTAGAAGAGAGGAGAGAGATATTTATACTCATAGTAGAAATCTAACAGTTCATATTTATGTCGGAAGTTCCGATGCAGATCTCGGGACTTCCGACCTCTATCGAAAACACTGTTTATAGCTAGGTCAAAGTCAGCACGAGAAAGTCAACGTCGGAACTCCCGACGTACGTCAAGACTCCCGATGTATGTCGGGACTTTCGACGAAAGCGGTCTGCAGGCCAGCCAAGGGTCCAGGCATCGGGACTCCCGAATTGAGTCGGGAGTTTCGATTGTCGGGAGTTCCGACTCACGTCGGGACTACCAATGGCCACAGTCACCGCACAGACTAAGTGACTGGGTGTCGGGACTTCCGATGGTCGGGACTTCCGACACCAAAAGTCTTCAAAAATATTCTACGTGCTCGTGAAGTGTTAGAGGGTCTCTCTTTTGATTTTATATTTATACTTGAACACTCTATCTTCCTCAGACCATCTAAACTTGCATCCCTCTTTATAGTACGGTGAAACCTAAACTCAAAATGAAAGATAAGACCTTTGAAGAGCGCTTTGAGTTTGTCCGCCTTTTTAACTTTAAGAATTGAGGGATACCATTTCATCTTAGATCAACTCTTTAATTCTTACAAGAGACTAAAACTGTAATATATCTCATTAAGATCTCATTAGTCCCTAATTTGGATGTCATCAATACACCAAAACCCACATAGGGGGCAAATACACTTTCAATCTCCCCCTTTTTGGTTATTGATGACAACCAATTTTGGCTTTTATAAGAATGAAATAATTTAAGCTTTTGAACCCCAAAATTTATAGAGAGCTCCCCCTTAATATATGCAATGAATTTGAATTTCAATGATGATCATTTATCCATCATTTGCATATATCAAGACACAAAAGCTCCCCCTAAATTTTGCAATTCGTGGGGTGCAACAAGTGTATGTGAACAAGTATATATCTGTGAAAAAGATATGCAATATGACATTGTATTCACACAACAAGTAAAAGAGAATGTGATGGCCAAGATCTCATAATAAAAACTTGAACAACACATGGCCATAAAAATAACATCCACCATCACAAGTAGAGACAAGCACAAGCTAAAATGATAGATAGATAAACATTACTTGTCCTATAATCATCCATCATACACACATATATAGTTGTCCATCACATAGTGCCACCACACGACATAGTTAATACAAACCACTTAGTTCAAAGTCTCACAAACTCTAAGCGACCAACTAACTTATTACATGATAATCAAAGCCTAACACTCCCCCTTTGTCAAAAAGTGCCAAAAGGGGTAGGCCGCGGGAGAGAAACAACTACTCGTCCTTGTAGTCCTCATCATCATCGTGGTCACCATCATCATCATCATCGTTATCGTCGTTGATGTAGTCCTCATCTTCTTCAGTAGCCTTGATCTTGCATGAGGGTGAGAAGCAGCATTGTCCTCATAAGCCATACAAGCCTCATCATAAAGCGCCAGAGGATCACGGGGAGGCACAAACGATGGAGGTAGTGCAGACTCAATACCAGCCCGCTGCTCCAAATGATAGAGCCTCTCTTGCATGTCATGCTCGCGTTGAGCACTAGCACAACACTGTCTAGACATGTAGGTCATGAGAAACTTGAACTTGCTGGGCTTCTTACTAGAGGAGGAGGAAGAGAGCGGCTCAACACTAGAAGCATGAGAAGCAGCAGGTGGTGAAGCACCATGGCTAGAGCGAGAGCCCGAAGCACGAGAAGTAGCAGCAGCCTTCTTCAGTTCCCTTGCGGCTGTAATAGATATCTTGTTGGAAATCTTGAGAAGCTTATGAGTGGAATCTGTGGGGAACCGGATGCCTAACACTTGCTCAATCACATGTACTCCCTCCGTCCTCTTTTAATTGTCGCTGGGGAGGTGGGCACAGGAATTAAGGCAGGTGGGCAAAGACCTAAACACCCCTAGATAACAATGATTGACGTTCTGCGGTTTTGGAATGGTATGCCATTAATGTCACCTTTTGCTCACCCAGTCCACAGATTTCTTACAATAAACAAATCAAAATTCACATCACTTGGCGGCAAACACATTTTTTACACCAAACAACTCAGCATCCACTCGGCGGCAAACACAACTTACCGTCAATTTTTATACAGACGAAGCAATCCAAAATTTAAAAGTAGCGCTATTTCTCTAACAGTAGTGGCAATAAAGCATGGTTACCCTTTCTTTGCATTCATTTGAACCACTCAGTTCTCATCCATCTCCCCATGGCAATACTAGACTTAAACAAGCTACCGGAAGAGAGAAGAGAGGAGGTGCCAGATCTGAACAAGAATCCTGCTGAACATGGACATGAAAAGGATCGTGGTCCCTAGGAAGATGTAGTTGCTGTAGTTCAAGTTGGGGGAGCTGACCACTTTGATGTCCATCCTGCTGAGAATGATGAAGAAGAACAAATTCGTCAAGGTAAGCTCATCTATTTCTATCCAAACTGAGTGTACTGGCTCTAATTCTCTCTATCCTCTCTCCTTAAACTAGTTGTGCTTATTTATTTATATCTCCTAAAATCACAAGCAACAACACGTGTTCTCTCTAGCCTCTCTCTCTCAAATCATAAATTAGTATGTGCTGGTTTAGTTCATCTCTACTAAAATCACTAGCAACATCTAAGAATTTCTAGTGTTTATCTCTCACCTAAAACTCCTTTGCAGCATGGATCCTTATCCTCTCTCTGTTCTAAAATTAATATGAACTGCTTTAATCTATCTCAAATAAAATCACAATCAATATTAGTGATTTTTCTGTGTAAGGCATGCAGCTCATATTTGTTTCAAGGTCAAAATTAAATTGTAGTGATAGGAATAACTCACATGTGTGGTTGGCAATGCATTCTCATAACCATCACCTTTCTGTACTAGGTGACAATGCTGGCCCTCCATTTGTTGCAAATGATCCACATGAAGAAGACCCAGAAAACCTACATGCAGGTGGTTATTTCCCTCAAGTTGAAGTCATCTTTGCAACAATAATTGTCCATGTGAAAAAGTTTGATAATCTATTGTGTAGCACATGTTCTTTCTATTCTATCTCTCTCTAAATTAGTGTTTCAAACTCTTTTGTAGTCCTCTCTCTGTCCTAAAATTAGTATCAACTGGTGTTCTAAAATTAGTATCAATTGGTTTAGTCTCTCTCATAAAATTGCAAGCAAGATTAGTCAATTCTCTGTGTAAGGCATGCAGCTCATAGTTGCTTCAAGATATCTTGTGTGGGAACTATTAAATAAATTAGAATGAGAGGGGACAATAACTCACATGTGTGGGTCACAATGCAATTTTCTAATCATCAGCATGCTTTTGTACCAGGTGACAATGCTGGCCATCCATTTGATTTAAATGATCCATAGGAAGAAGAAGAAGAACAAAATCTGCATGCAGGTGATTATTTCTCTCATGTTCAAGTCATGTTTGCAACAATAATTGTCCATGTCAAAAAGTTTCATAATCTTTTGTGAAGCAGTTCTCTCTAGCCTCACTCTATCTCCTCAATTTTTATGTTCTGGTTTACTTCCTCCCTACTAAAATATCTAGCAACATCTAGGAAATTTTAGTGTTTATTCTCTTTGTTCTAAACTAGTATGAACTGATGTACTGTGAGGGGGAGAATAACTCACATGTCTGGGTGACAATGCATTCTTATAATGATCCATTTGATTTGAATGATCCACTAGTAGAACAAGGAAACCTGCATGCAGGTGATTATTTCCCTTAGGTTCAAGTCATGTTTGCAAGAATAATTGTCCCTATGAAAAGTTTGATAATTTATTTAATGACAATCAGCACACAGCATCTACATTTTTTTTGGTAGGAAATGACAACACTGCCTTACAAGCAGAACATGATACCTTGGACGATCTCATACAAGACTTCGGAGTGTACACGGATGATGTTGACATCATATTTGATGAAGAGGAGTTGTCCGACTCGGATGACGACGAAGATCAGCAAACCCAGCAAGAAGAAGCAACAAATATGGTCAGGATTTTGACAGAAAGAGAACGGCAAGACATTTATGAAGATTTGCTTCGGTTAAGCAATAATGGCAAATTAAAAAGAGACAACACAACACTTATTGCTGCAAAGTACAATGTCCATGTGCGTACAATACAACGGGTATGGTAGAGAGCAAAAAAATGTTTGGAACAAGGCATACCAGTAGATGTCAAATCTTTGCGACCTAAGAATTGTGGTCGTAAAAAAATTCAAGTGGACCTCACAAGGGTTGTTGATATTCCCTTAAACAGAAGGGGTACCATAAGGTCACTAGCAACTGCTCTTAATATCAATAAAAGCTCTCTACATAGGTTGTTCAAAGAAGGCTTGCTACGACGACACTCCAACTCATTGAAGCCTTATTTGAAGGAAGAAAACAAACATGCAAGGCTGCGGTGGGTTCTCTCTATGCTAGAAGAAAGTACTCTACCAGACAATCCCATGTTCAAAGAAATGAAAAATATTATTCACTCAGATGAGAAGTGGTTCAATGGGACAAAGAAGAATCTGACTATGTACATGCATCCAGATGAAGAAGACCCACATAGAACAGTGCAAAATAAGAATGCCATTCACAAAGTCATGTTTTATTCTGCTGTTGCAAAGCCCAGGTTTGATGCTAAAGGGAGATGCTATTTTGATGGGAAGCTAGGCATATGGGCTTTTGTGCGAACGGTACTAATCTTTGTCTAAATAATACTTGCAATCCCTTTTATGTTATTTCAAATAACATTCTTTTTAATTACAAGAACCAGCAAAAAGGAGAAGTGTCAACAGACTAAGGGGCACACCTATCACAAAGGCCATGAAGGTTGATAGACAAACAATGAGAACTTATATGATCGACAAACTCATACCAGAAATACAAGCTCGTTGGCCTAGAGAAGCAAGGCATGAGACAATATGGATACAACAGGACAATGCTCCTTCTCATGTACCAATAGATGATGCAGTTTTTGCTGCATCAGTAGCCCGAATAGGCCTCGATATACGCCTAATGAACCAACCTCCTAATTCTCCTGATATGAACTGCCTTGACCTTGGTTTCTTTGCTTCTCTTCAGTCGCTAACGGATAGAACGACATCCAGAAACATGGACGAGCTCATCCAGAATGTGTACATTGAATATCAAAACTACAACCCCATCTTTCTCAATAGGGTATTCCTCACACTACAAACATGCATGATTCAAGTTATGAAGGATAATGGAGGCAATAGGTACAAGATCCCTCACATGAACAAAGAGAGGCTAGAGGCACAAGGCATGCTCCCTACAACTCTAAGTTGTGATAGCCAGCTAGTTCAAAGGGCTTTTGAGTTATTGAACACTTAATGGTTCTATTCATGTAAACATCGCTAGTGATGCTTTTGTGATGCTTTTGCGTTGTATAAATTCTCTGTATATATATGACCATGTATAAAGTCTCTGTATCATGTGGCAGCGACAAACTAGTAATTCCTTAGTGTGTCATTTAACATTGCAATTCACAAAGTATACCATAACATAGATACATGCAAGCACCACAAATCAAAATGAACCAAACTAGTCCAACATAAACCATCAGTGCAAACAACCAACAACCCATCAGTACCACCAGCACTAGGGTGGAGTTACAATCAAAATGTTACCAACACCTTGACTATGACCTTGCGTGTTGTAGCCCAATGGTTCTAATGTTTGGAACTCTTGAAAACATCTTCATACGCAGGAATGAAGGTAGTGAACATGTCTGTTACCTGTTCATTTAAGTCATCATCTTGCACCTATGAATGGCCTCGCAAGTCCACACCATCCTAAAACCAACATCCCTCATCATCAGTTTCTAGATCAGAGAAGCTAGCTTTATGGTCCACCTCCTCCTTGCTAGTATCCATCTGCACCTTGGCACACGACATGTCCAGCTTGTCGCTCTCCACCTCCAACTTCACACTGTCCACCTCCAGCTTGGCACTCTCCTTCTTCAACTTGACCCTATCAACCTGGACCTTGCCAGACAACATCTCCAACTTGTCGCTCTCCATCTCCACATTGCCACTCTCCTTCTCAAACTTGACATTGTCCATCTGCAGCTTGTTGCTCTCCATGTTTACCTTGGAAATCTCCTTCTCCTACTCCAGCTCAAAAATAAGGTCGCGCCACTGGTGAAGCATAGTACTGCACAGAAACAATAGAATTTATACACAAGATCAGTGGCAGAGCTTGGAGCCAGAGCCCAGCTTGACCCCAACGTAAAGCTGGCTTACCCCAAATGCCCACGACCTTGGTTGCCACACGGCCCAACAATTCTTCTCACTGTAACAATTTCCTGTGGCTGCGTCTCAGGCACGTACTCATCCTCATCGCCAAGCAAAGATGAACCCTTAACCCCTTCTTCTTCATTCGAATCAGGTATCAACTTGAATCGATCTGCACCCCCTTCCTGTGTATCTTGAGCAAAATCCTGTCCTTCGATGGCGATGCAGTTAAGCTTATGGTCCCACCAAGTTCCACGACGATGATCCCGACCGCTCATCTGCTTTGCAGGCCACATCCTATGGCTTGAAGGGATTCCCAAGGCACGCTTCATTCGCAAGTGGCGAATGAACCGGCTAGGCCCATGTGCCCTATTGCCGCCTGCCATCCAAGGATTGCCTGGCAAAAGAACACTACAATAAGAGTAAAACACTTGATTCTCATGCAAATGATAAACTGATATGACAAAAAAAGGAAGGGACTAAAAAATTTGAGAAACAGAAGCCATTCTTCTTAATGAAAAAAGCACTAGCACATCAACAGGATTTCTGAGCATAATAGTAGCTGAGCCATATTTTTCGTAAATGTCTAGGCCATCAACAGAGTGGATTAGATGTGCCTAACTTAATTTTCTGAGCATGATGTAGGTAACCTATTTTTTTATTTGCTTATAGTGGTCATGGAAAGATTGAAGTTTTTTTAGAATAGAGAGATGTGATTTTTGGAGCAGGAGGAGTACCTTGACGAAACTTGAGGGTCCTCAACACAGGCCCTTAGATCTAGCCTAGCTCCGCCTTGAGCTGGTAGGAGGCAAGGTTGTGGGAGGCAGTGCGATGACAGCAGAGGGCAGCGACGACTAGGAGCGGTGAGCCTCTGTGGGTCGGCGCGGAAGCCGTGCTTCACCCTTGCGCTGTCGGATGAGTCTCGACGATGTCATGTGGACAAAGGGCCCACGTTCTCGGCTCCCCTAGCCTGGCGCAGGATGAAAGGGAGGGGCCAGGCCAGAGGAGGAGGTAGACGCCGTGCGCCGCCTCACGAGTGAGCCTACGCTCTCGCCTCCTGCAGCCCAGCGACCGGCGATGATGCGGATGGGGCAACCGGCGACGACGATGGGGTGAGCGGCTATGAGGATGTGGCGACCGGAGACAATGCGGATGCAGATGGGGCGACAGAAGATCGACAAGGATGCGGTCGAAGAGGGCGAGATTGGGGATCGGTGGATTTTTTTTACGAAGGCCTATGCGGTGGTGTGAGGGGAAAGCAGTGAAGGGATAAGGCTGCTGCGGGCGACGTGCGGTGGGAGTCTGCACCTAAGCGTGGGACCCGCGTCACTAGCCCAACGACACACATTAAGGGACACCGCTCCCCTCCCAGAACGACGGACATTATGGGACGGAGGGAGTATAAGATAGGGGGCATACGGATAGTGCCTCACAAGATCCTCACTCGCATCATGAATCTTGTTCCAAATGTAGCGACTTATGGAGAACTTGTCGAAATTGTCACTAACGAGATCCTAACATATAGGTATGTTAAGCCTCGGGTCCAATGGTTCCCAAACGAACAAGACCCCCTGACTGACCCCTTCAGAATCGCCTGGGGGCTATGCCCATCGGGCACGCTCGTGCGCACCCTCTAGCAAAGAGACCCGGCCAAGCCTGACTCGATCGCAGCTTCCGCCTAGGGCTCGGGGCTTCCCCGAGCCTTGGGCTCCTGATCTACGGCATGACCAAGCCCGGTCCTTGGCTCCTACCTAGCTAATGATGCCAGCCAAGGCCTGGGCACAAGAAGACAAGCCCAAGGCTATCGATGGCCGGGGGCTCCCTAGCGCTACTCACTAGGCATGCCCCTATCAACTGCTCCTCCGATAGGGCCACATCTGTGGCGTGACATAAGAAGACAAAGCTTCTCGTGGCCTCTGGGGGCTTTTGAGCCCACGCGTCAGCCCCCGGAGCCAACCTCCTTTGCCACCAAGAAGACTCCAGAAGGCCTCACCTAGGGGAGGCCGGTCCAAGCCGACACCCTCTGACACGAAGAGTGTCAAAATAGAGCAGCCGGACAACGCCCAGGCTTCTTCGGCTCCAAGACACCTTGATGATCCATGGCGCGCTGCTGCAAGCCCCTCCTGGACTCGACGCACATAGACCATAGACTAGAATCCTCAAACCGCCTTGTACCCGACCTATCTCGTTATATAAGAGATAAGGTTGGACCTAGAGGAGAGAGGATCCTGATTCGATCCCCAGGCACTCCATTCCATTTCATCCGCCTCCGCTCTACTCCAAGAGCAAGGCAACCCAGAGAGGGGCACTGAGAGCCCTTCCTCCACTGCATGTCACTGCCTCCTTCCTCTCTGACGAGGGGGACATTCCACCGGTGGTGAGGCAACCTTAGGATTAGCACCGAGCTAACCCCCTACCAAACTCTATTCCTTTACACTCTGTTGTAAACCCCTAGATTTTGGGTGCTCTTGAGTATAAGGATCATCAGCTGCTAGACATAGGGACCGAATTGGCCTGAATCAGGATAAACTATTGCGTCTTCTCTGTGATTCTTGTGTTCCTGGGTCCACCCGATCCACCAGAGACCTCGTACTTTGACACCGACTCGAACAACATTCTTGCCATAGTTTTGACCGTATGATAGCTGGTGCGCCAGTTAGGGGACAACGTCAAGTGCGATTCTAGCTCTACGGTGGCTGGAGCCACTCGCCTTGTCACCGGAGCAAGTGGCGCCACCCCAGACGGTGGTGTCCGCTTCCCCAATGAGTTCTCCGTCGTGGTCGGCGCCTTCGCTCTAGGCGAGGTCCTCAACTTTGGGAGCCTGGCCTACATCGCTGACTGCTATGGTGAGCTTCATCCACTACACGGGGCTACATCATTGGGGCAACGAGCCCCCGACGTCGTCTCCTCCGTTAGGACTCTTGGGAGCAGATCTTGAGGTTTTGGCCCATCAGATCCGACGTGGTCTAGGCTCGAACCCCACCGGGTCGGACCGCCGCTAGATGTTCTACATGCTGGCCAATGTTCACCACTAGATGGCCCCCCGTTAGGTGCTCCCGGTGCCTGATCGCTTGGTACTACCTCCCGAAACTGCCTTTCGGGATACAGAATGCGACAACATCCTTCCAGCTAGAGCTAGAGAACTTCATCAGTTGCGAGGCGCCGTGGAGCATCATCCTCTCTGGCGTAGCTAGGACTAACATCCCCTCGCTCCACACCTTCCTCGAGGTCCTCTAGGGGAACGGACGGAAGTACGACTCCGATGACATCAACTATGATGCCTCGCCGCGCATTTGCTACCATGTTGACGGCGATGATCTTGCTGAGCAGGCACCCAGGCTCATGTTGTAACACCCCAGGTGTTTATCACCAGTTAAGCAATGGGTTTGAGCTCAAACATGACATGTCGAGTGGTAATCAAGGTGTCAAGATCAAATCTACATGATGGAGCTCCAACTTAAACTTGGGCCACGCACAATTGCTTACATATGGACCCTTGTTAAGATTATGCAAGAGTAATGTTAAACATGCTTATTCCATGTACATTACATCCACATGCATCCATCTAGACCCGTGGAAAAGTTTCATGAAGTTTGGAATCAAAAAGTCACATGAAATGATAAGTCATATCTTTGCATGAATTGCTTTATCAAGTGGATGGAAACCTATGAAGTCAACCAAACCTTGGTACCTTGCTCAAACAACTCTACTTGCACTCATGAACAAATGTTATGAAGGGTTCATGTTGAGCAGGTGGCCAGAAAATGCTCCAATGGATCAAAAAGGATAATTTAAGCTTCATCCTGATCCTATTTTGGTCAAAGTAGAACAGTAGGTTTCGTACCAGTTATGAGGTTTCACCTTTAACAAAAGTTGTAGTTCATCTTGTGTAGAACAAACTTTGTTTAATGGTCAAGAGTTAGTTTGGCCTCTAACCTAGTCAAATGGAACTCATAAGATTCAATACGATGTTGTTTTGGAGCCCGTGAAATTTGGCTAAGTCCTAAGCGAGGTTGAACTGCGGGTACCCTACTTTGGAGCTTTATATCTTGCAAACTGAGCTGATCTAGACCTCGATCCTTTAATAAAAGTTGTTCTTTGTTTTGAGTACAACATAGTTTGTTTTTGGAGTATGCCCTAGTTCAGTTTGTAGATGATGCAAACAGAGGTTACAAGATCAAAACTGCTGCTGTTTGTAGACCTAAGTCTGAAATCTTGGGCATCGACGATGACATTCCGCGTTCTCCAAAATTTTGTAAGAAACATGTTTGGGTTGCAAAATAAAATATGGAGATAATTATTTGGAGAAGAGGATACCCAAAGATGGGATCAATTGGACCAAGTTTGACTTCCCAAAATGAACAAAAACCGAGCTTTACTTTGATCGACATTAATTCATTGACAGTGGCAAATTAGGGCCTAATTATCTCTGAATCCTTTGCTCTAATGGCTATGAACTTTTAACGAAATTTGTAGAGCATCGGATGGAGATCAAACTTCGTTAAAGGCCCACCATCAAATTCCCAACCGAACCAGCCCAAAAATGGCTTCCAAGACGCTGGCGGATCGCTTTCACACCTTTCGTCAAAATGCCGACGCCTCCGGCCGGGCGTGGCGACCATGCGACGAGCGCCCCCACCTCCCTGCCGCATGCCTTGCCTCCTCCTCATGTTTTGTGGACGCTGAGCCGCTCCTAGATGCTCCGCCCCCACTGCCGCTCTCTTGCCTCTCTCTCGCCCTCGCTCACGTCCGCCATTGATGGCCGAGCGAGCTCATCCACCATGACCGTTCTCGCCGCTCCCGGCTTTCTCACTCCCCACGAGCACCACCCTCGGCTTCGCCGCCATCTC